TATACGTCCCGACCACACATACATAAAACGCACACACACACATATATATATATACACACACACGCACATATACACGCACACACCCACCCACCCACACACACACATATATATATATATATAAATGCACACAGACACACATACACATGCACACAGCACACACCGAGAGAGAGGCAATGTAATGAATACAAGAGTGTTAGACTAGCGCAAGAGTGGTAAGGGTTTTGGCTTGGGTTTCAAATATGGCATGAAATAAAGCCACAAGACAAGCTGGGGTGACAGTAACATGCAGAAAATTATGCAAACACGTCGATACACCATAGCGTCAGTGTGGAATGAAATTATATGTATGCGTGTGCCTATGGCTAATCAAATGCTCAGTCACCACTCCAGCAATAACTACCTCCACACACCTGCATGTACTTAACACGTTTCATGCCGCGATACATTTCATATGTGTCGTCTAGGGACTCACTAACACCTCCGTACGCATTAGTCTCCTCGTGCGAACGTTTACGACTGGCAGTGCCATTGGATGTGTCGTCGTACCCTTCGCCTGAGCGAGGACAAGAGAATAGGAACGTATACGGGAATACGTTGAGATTGCAATCTACTTGCTAATTGAACGAGTCCGAATTGGAAACGTAAACGCCATGTCATTAAACTGTAAACCCTTAGTGACAGCAGAATATCCAAAGCTGCACGCACCAGAACTGTGGGAGTGAATATGAAACCTATGGCCATATTTTCGCAACAGACACACACATCGTACAATTTGTCGAGTTTTAGGGGCTTATTTTGGGATTTGAGGGGTTATTTTAGGGTTTTAGGTTTTCATAGGGTTTTATGTGGGTGTAGATACAGTACTGTACAATTACGACGATCTGTCTGAATGTACCTAGCAGACGGATACGCAAAGGACAAATATATCAACGTAAGAACCGCCGGTACAAGATAACTTGACCCGCAGTGACATAAAACACAAACACGAACAAACATTTGGGCCAAAGCCTTAAACCAAAAAAACAAAAAAACCCTAAGGCTAGTGTTGTACTCAAACAGGGTGGCGCTCATTTGCGATGCTATTTGGCTGTGGCCCTCAGACGTCTGATAGTAATTCGGGATTGTCACAGTGTGCACCGAGCCCGCCATATCTCACACCACCGATATAGGGATTTGGGGATTTGGGGATTTGGGGATTAAGGTCTTAGGTGGATGTGGGCTACACAGCAGAAAGAACACAGAACAAACATGCTACCTCAATCAGTAGTACTACTGTGAGGAAGTATGTCTCCGTCTGCCCATTCATATTCCTTCACAGTACAATCCGTTCCAGTACTTGCTCAGACCACCAGAGGCTCCCACACTTGGTGATGGGGTGGTGCGGTGGTACTTACCCTGGGGCATCTCCGCCTGCAGAGCATCCTCGTCTTCCCAATCGGGTCTTCCAGGAAGAATCAGGTCTTGTTCATCACCCCCATACTTCTCAAATAGCTTCTTGAGGTAGTGGTCTTTGTAGATACCGGCGGGACGGGCGGCTGCGAAAAATTGCGTGGCCGTCTCTATGGCTGTGTGGTGATGGAATACGTGTGTGTATCTCGGTCAGTAGGTGTGTTGAACG